AAAACTGGCTCTCAGAAAAAACACGACTATTTCCCTCATCTCATTGACAGCTCCAAAAAAAGAAAAGACTGCTCACTCCTGCTAGCAGAAAAGAAAACAGAAGCAAGTATATCTTGTTGTTATTGATCTTAACGTGAAACCATCCTATCAAAATTCATTCTCATCTGAACGCCAGTTAGACGGTTCGACGTCTGTCATGCAATAACAGTAAGTCAGCGTTGTCATCTCACGCTGCTCACTGCAGTAAATCAGCCCAACAAAGGCTCCATATTACTGGAGATGACATAATCTGCCACAGGCATCAACAGCACAATAGCAGCCTATGGCCTCTTCCTATACAGAGTATATGCTGATTTAAGTTGCCTGGCTACTGCATCGATCTGCTGTTTACACAAACACAGCAGAGGGAGAGGTAATTGGCTAAAACAGTGCTCTGCTGTATATCTGAAAGCAGAGCTCACACTTCTGCTTTGTTTCCTTTTAATTTCCCATAAGAGCATAAAAACTGTGACAGATGTAAACACGGGCACAGAGAGGCAGACGCTCACAGATCTGACTCTGTGCAGAGGAAGTTCACACAAAGCACAGCGAGCACATGAATAACACCAAACCCACAAAGAGCACAGACAAATAAGACCTCGTCCAACTCAAAAAACCCCCCAAATCTCCCCGTCTCTTCCATCTCGGCGATGCTCCGCGTTAAACTCTACACCCGGGCCGTGCTATTTTACTTCACTGTGTACGAGAGGATTTCCCTTCTGTCCTTCAGTCGAACCCATTTTTTTAAAAGAGAGAATGTTTGTTGAGGTGAAGCTGATGGTCGTATAAATAAACAGATCAGTTGACCCACAGTGGGGAGAGGAAGAGAAAGGGGAAAGGTCATGAGCAGCAGCGGCATTACAAATACATTAAAGGGGCACCAGCAGAGCTCGCCGACTTTGAAGGTGCTCAGAGGAAAGTAAAAAAAACAAAAAACCCCACAAAGAATCCAAAGATTTAAATCAGTCCAGCTGACTCTACACAGGCATTCAGCCCTACAGACAGCACATCTCACGATAGCTCCCCAACAGTGAAGTCAAAAATGTAGGAACATTTTCACTCATCACACATCCATTCATCAATCCGCTTGTCCAGATCTGGGTTTCTGAGGAGCTGCCCAAACCGCCCGCCCAAAACACACTTGTACATGGACTAAATGGCCTGTAACATCAGGCCAGATACACTGTACTACTGAAGCACTTCCCTACAGGTTAAACCAAAGGATGCAGGTGAATGAAGTCCACGAAACACATGTAGACTGGTTGGACAAACTCCTATCTTCACTTATCCTTAAATATCATTCCAGGTCCAGTGTTCCACAACCAGGATAGAAATTGCGTATTTCAGTCTGAGTTTTTCACAAACCAACTTCTTCCCAGTTTAGAACTTAAAGACGGCAAAGAGCTCAGCTTCTCAATGAAACTACACAGACCGGTGGGCAGCCTCCCATTTTTAAACACCTCCACTGCAAAGCTGCACTTTCTGCAGATTTTTAAAAACTTTAGACATTGATAGCATGTAAGGGCAAGCAAGACCAGCAACAGCAAGTGCACATATGCAGAACATATTCAGTTTCCAGAACAGATCCGAATGCAAACCTGCAGAGTTGATGGTTGATATGATCAAATTGTGATGAATGATCACAATTTGAAGGTCTTCATTTGAAACACAGTGTTCTGAGCTTCAGGCAAAACTTCACACGAAAGAATGTGAGCGTGAAACCAGACAAACACAAGAAAGCTGCATATTATGACAGTCCATCCTCAGGCGCATCATTCAGATGCATCTCCATAAGGGCCGAGCCATGTGCATCACAGCCACCATGGAGTCATTTACTCAGGCTGTCAGCGGACATACTTCCTTTAACCCCCGGGGAGTCTTTGGTCTTTTAAATGACTCACATGGACAAATCACCTGTTCACACCAGTTAAAGCGATGCTAGTTTTCATTCCCGCTTCATTTGCGAGTTAATGTTGGTCGCTCTGAAGTCACAGACTAACACATCTTTAGATCACGCTGGTTAAAACGTCATATCAACATGAAGATTCTGCACGCGGTGCTTATTCTGAGCACAGAAACTTCCTTTGGCGTTCGGCTGTTTTGGCATCAACATGCCGCCGTACGGCTCCAGTGAAGCTGCATGATCGCGAGTAATTAGGGAGCCCTGCTGCCACAAATAAACTGGTTAACAGAATTTCCACTGGGCACGATGCAGCAGCCAAAGTGAAAAGAAAAAAAGAACTGCTTAAAGGACTCCACAGAAGAAGAAGAAATGATTTAACTTCTGGGCCAAAAGTAACAGCAAAAGGAAGAACATTTTAAATGAGTTCAGCTGGAGGCTGTATTATTTTTAGATATTCAGACCAGGATATCTTATTATTCTAGCATTATTAAAGCATTTTAATGTAAGACAGATCAGTCAGATCCCGTGCATCCATTAAAGTAAATGTTGCTTGAGTTTAAAAAGTACTATCAGCAAAAGTATAAAAACTAAAAGCACTCATGTTTACAAGATTAATATTTTTATTACACTTACAGAACAGCTTAAAATGGAAATACTCAAGTATAAATACCTAAACAAATACTAATAAAGCATAGTTTAAATGGCTGATACTGACACAGCTCTTTTCTACTCCAGCTGAGCGCTAAAAGGTGCTTTTTCTTTATACTGCAAACCACAGTCACTAATTCACAGTGACTGTGGAATTCAGTAAAAAGACTCCTGAATGATTTTCAGGAGTCAGACAGGTTTACTTTCCCCAGGTTGTGCAAATGTTAGCATGACAGTACCATCACCCTAGTGTTCTTCTCTAAATGTGTGTTGAACTCTGTAAATGTTTTAACTATCTGCGCAAATATCAGTGGTTAATACAGCATACAGATTTTTCCTGTCTGTATAAAAGCTAATCTGTCCTGTAGCTTTTACATTTAGAGTTTTCTAAATCCAGGATTAAAGAAAAGGGAAAATACATTTGTGTTCTTCAAGGTTGGATACAAATAAATCATTCGTAAGATTCACCGCTGTCTGGATGAGCTCACTTTCTACACCTTTAGGCACTTTCAAACTATCACACAAATATGCACAGAGTTTGTTTAGAATCACTGAAGTAAAAACAAGCCCTCCTGTTTCCATCTACAACCACTTATGTTTGACATGGTTCTAGAAGAACATCAGCACATAACCGAGCTGACATCACTGATAGGACACCGAGTCAGAAACGGAGATAATTGGATGGAAGCTGGTTGCAAAGTGGCTTGCAGGTGTGCAGCACCTGTGTGAAGGCTAAAGTAGCATATACAGTGCAACCTACCTGAGATTTGGTAGCTGTAGGCTGACTTCATGGCCTACCTGAACCAACACTATGATCAATTAAAGGTCACTGACCCTACATATCATACTCAAGGAGATGTTGCATAAAACGGCACTCAAAGCTACTCACATTTTTCTCTTTCCACTAAAGACATGATCCACTTTAAGTCTTGCCATTCTCAAGGCTTTCAGCATCTCTGAAGTCAAATTAATTCATGATAATCCTAACAATAATCCTGGCGATACAGCAATGCCCAGACTGAGGAAAGACTGAGCTACACAACCAGTTTCACTTCATTTAACCTGCCAGGGGCTAAACTTGGCATAAACCAGGAGTTTGCTCATTTAGAAATCTTCATGTAGAGAAATAACTGCAGTCATGGCAGAAAAAAATTAACAACAACAACAACAAAAAAGTTTTGCCAGTAGCACAAATTCTGTGTTTCATAAATCGTTGAACAGCATTAATCTATGAATCTGGTTTTCCTGCAGTTCTCTGTAGCAGGCTGGATATCTGCTTCATTCCTGCCTTATCAGAGCTCCACACTAAAAGCATCCTCAAAGACCAGCTGCTTCAAAGATCCAGGAGTAATCTGGTAACAATCTGTGCATTTTCCAGCTTCTCTTGTGACATTTTATACCATGCTACAAGTAAAAAGTGATAATTAGTCACTGACATTAGGTGAGAAATTCACATTATTTCATACATTTATCCCACAAGTATTTTACTGCCATGACAGTTACGTCAGCTTCAGCTACCCAGCGTTCAGTCTCCAAACCGGCCACAGTGGGAGCTGGTTCAATGGAGGACTAAACCATAGCTGGTTCTGCGCTGGTTTAGTGGGAAGAGCTAACAACATTTCCGATTCAGTCACACTAACACAAAGAAATCACCCACTATCACTCTGAAATCTTAAAATCCAAACGTTTTTCTGCAAATGATGGAGAATAATTGCCGTCATGCTCTGGAGTTAAAGTCGATGTCTGTGCACAGAAACTAAAATTAGTATAATAAAAGTTGTAATACGACTAAAACTACACACAGACAGACAGAGTCATTTTATACTGCAGCACAGTCACAGGGTTTCTCTCTGTAGGGATGTGCGTTATGATTCAGCTCCATTTATCCTTCAAATCCTTTCTTTTACTTTCTCACTTTATTATTTTTCCACGCTCGCCATCACACGCCGTCGTCTTCTCCATTTCTCCTTATCTCTTACTTATATTTCACTCTTCTTTTGCTCGCTCTCCCGTCAGTGCTGAACAGTGACAACCGGAGCTTGCGACGCACTCGCTGACCTCGGAGCACTGCTCTCCCTCCCTGCGAGCGCCCTACTGTACTTTGAAAGAAGCAGCAGAGCGATCCTTGTCTAAACAGTGGAAAGAATAAAAGGCAGTTAATGCAACCTCATTACGTAAATGCTCTCTGCTCTTATGAGGCCTGACCACAGCTGAAAATGACACCAGCAGACTTTGGTCAATAGCGTGCCATGGGCTGCATTCACAGAGAGGACGCAGAGCGGTCCGCTAGAGGGCAACTGTAGGGTGAAACAATGAGAAGGGGATGGCTTTGTAGCTGGAAAACAAAACCTTTAAGCAGCGAATTAATCACCCAAAAAAAAAAAAAGAAAGGCGTGGCCCAAAGACTCACCGATGACACAAAAGGGCTTCCTGGCAAAGCGCAGCCGACCCTGCCATCCTCTGTAGCGACAGCAGCATCCCGCTGACCAGATACGGATGATGAATTCCAACCCGAACACCACAATCATCACAAACTCCTGTTGGAAGCATAGAAACAACAGTTGTTTTGGAAGCGTGTTGATGACGGCAACAGAGAGCATTAATCTGGTTTTCCAGGGATTAAATCAAACACAGTTAAGCCAGTGGATATATTAGACAGGAAGTAAACAGTTATGCACCAAATACACTGGCAAAGAGAGAAGCAGATGTAAGGACCAGAACAAATGTGCCTGACAGTCCGGGTCATGGTTGGACTGAGGAGAGACAAACTTACAGGTTGTTGGTGGAGCGCGGCTGATGTGTATAAAAGAAAGACACAGCATAGTTTTGGCTCAGTATTTTAACATCAGGCTCTGGGAACTGAGCAACTGGTCTCCACAGAGACTCAAAAGTCAAGCCAGTGTAAAAATGCCACAAAGTGCAGTTCCTGTAATGTCCACTTGAGGCCGTCTCCTGAAGTGAGTCAATCACCGTAGACTTCCATGTTAAAAAGTCCAATTTTACAGCAGAAGTAAACATGTTTACAGCCTGGTATACAAACAGAGCTTTGATCTCTACAGCTGATTTCTCCCTTCATAACAACTGAATCGATTTTTTTAACAGTGTTTCAATATCAGAATCTGACATTGTTTCAATGTCAACAGTATTAGAAAATATAACGTCGAATCAATGTCAGGTTTCAACATTGATTCAATATCAAAACCTGACGTTGTTTCAATATTAAAAAAGGGTGCAAGAGTGACGTTAGGTCAACGTTAGGGTCAACGTTGATTCAATGACATCACCTGATATTGACAATGTTTCCTTGCTATCTGGCTTGACGTTAGGCACTGTTGGGGGTGTGGTAGGTCGTATCTTGGCTGTTACTCGTATGCTGGGCTTTACCTTTGCTAAATGAACCAGTGAACTGGACCTCTGGACTCTGCTGTTAGTGCTTTTTGGAGCTTTTTAATGCACTTACTTGACCTGTTGTGCTTTTAATGGTACGAAGCGACTGTCCGAGAAGTCTCCTTCACTTCAATTCAGTTCTACTATTATTTCATTACTTAGCACTGATGCTAGCCACAATGCTAGACCCTTTGGATGTGTTTCAGGAAGATCTGCCAAATCAAACCCACTGTGGTGACTTAACTTAGCACTAATTAGCAGATATGTGCTCCAGTAGACTGTACAGTGTATAGATGTAACCTGCTAACCAAGCCAGCTAGCATTAGCTCAGAGGTTAAGAAGCTTGAGTTCTGTCTACAGACGTTATAAAAGATACACGCTGCATTCTTTTTAATGGCCACCAGGAGGCAAAGACATCTGGTCCTGAAAAGTAAACAGGAAACAGTCCTTCACACGGAACTCTGTGAATGCTTTCCTGCTGATTTTATGAGCTCAGTCACTCATTTTAGAAATGATTAATTATCTGTTTTCTTCCGGTTATCCGGGGCTGGGTGGCAGGGAAAGCAGCCTAAGCAGTGAAGGTGCTCTCCCTCTCACCGGCCGCCTCCTGTGAGGTGTTCCTAGGCCAGTGGAGAGATGTAATCTCTTTAGCCACGGCATCTCCTCCAACCTAAACTATTTATTAAACTCTTTAAAATTTGGTTATTTAATCACTGGCCAGTTACTTGTCAATCATAAGTTGTTGTTGTTGTTTTAGTTGTTTTATTGACTTATTGTCTTCTATATTTTACTGCATCACGGTTGTGCATTTTATTGATTTTAGTGGTTTTACATTGTTAAGCACTTTGTGCGGTGTGGACTGTTGGAAATGTGCTATATAAATAAACTTGAACTTGACCTTGACCACAAGTTAATGACCAATGAGCATGCTCCAGCTCCAGGCGTGATCAGTTTGACAGTCGGATCCACCTCTCACTCATCACATCTGGTTTTAAAACTTGAGGCTTTATAACGAGACCTCACTAACCCCTGGATGATGTCATGATAGCCCGTCTATGTTTCAGATGCAAAGACCAGTAGCACATTATGTTGGGCTGGTCTTATTATTTTGGCACATCAGTGTAAATTTGCATTAGTCATTATTTGCTGCATTGATCACATGTCATTATACGTCATTAATGCAGTGTTTGTCTCATTTAAATGGATGCCGGGTTGACAAAAGTATTGTGTGTTAAAATGACTGAGACGGGTCATCTGTTAATGCACACGCACGGCTTTACCTTCCATTAGATGGAAACGCTGATGCAATTAGCGTGGTGCAATTTGTGAAATGGCAGCTCCAGCTGCAGGGGCAATCATGTGCAGTAAATGCTGCCCGTGCAAAAAAAGTGACCTCTCCCTTCTGCAAAAGCTTTTTTTAAAAGAAAAGAAAAGAAAAAGAAAAACGTGAAGAGTCTGTTAAAAAGGCATTTCTGCTCCCGTGCCCACCATTCCTCGCTTTCTTCTCAAGACATCTTTGAACTCAATTTGTTAGTACTTAAAGAAAGTGGAGTTCTCAGTTTGAGGGCAGGCACTTAAATCTGCCATTTATTCTGTTATCCTGAGGTCAACCCCGAGAGTTTTCCCGATGGCCGTATGGCTTATTCATAATGGCAAATTCTCCTTTCACCAATTCATACTTTGGTTTCTGTTCAGAACTTCTTTAAACAAGACATTCAAAGGAAAGGCAACGTTGTTAACTGCTCATCATATTCCTTATTTATCTTCCACTCCTCCGCACAGTTTGTCAGTGATCACAATTAGCACAAATTACACAAATTACTGGGTATTTTCTGCAGACTGCCTCATTTTTCCTCTTTCACTGCACATCTTGGTTAATTTACAGGATCACTGATATTTTGTAATTAATATATAATTTTACTCATGCAGCTAAGTGCATGAGTAAAATGGAAAATACCAGATTACATTCCATGTTCGGCCCCAGCCACACACATCCAGAGAGCCGACCACCGGTCAGTAAGAAAAAATATGTTTACCTGTTTCTGAATACCGCACTGACATAAAAAAACCATCTCCCTACGATTGTTTTGATTGCTAGCAGATTACTGTGGTCACTGATAGTTTGCAGTGGAAGATACCAACATGTTTGCAAACACTCAAAATAACTGCTAACCAGCAGGGAAACCTGAAAAAGTGAAATGCAAACCAGGAACGGACAACATTCATCTGCAAAGAAAAAGTCAGCCAGCACTCTACTTTTTAAACATTCTCCGTTTCCAGTTTGTGACTCAATTTTTCAAGTTTCACTGCAGCTCAGCGTTTAGAGACAGGTCAGCATTTTGTATGAAAAGTATAGGTCAGCTGTGGGCGACCAAAGGAACCTGAAGTTTTTGGTGCAGCACCAACTTTGTGATCGATTTCACACAACGGCAGCCAAAATCACTCCAGGTGGTTTCAGGGGGTTTCTGAGCGGTCCGCAGACCTGAGGTCTTACATCTGTGTCAGTTAATCAGACTGAAAGGAAGCGGTCAGACGTACCTTTTGTAAACGTACGCTTACACTGCAATATCTTGAAAATGTGCTAAATGAGGTTACACTGGAACAATGATTATTATGCTCTGTTACTCTGGATGAAAATTTGGGGTCAGCGGGTGACGTGATAAAATAAGCATACAAATGTCGTGTGCAAAGTGAATGAATAAGTCTGTCACATATTTGTTCTCTCCTGAGAACAATTATGTTGCTCTTACAAAAACCCTCCAATGTCAGAGACACCAAAGAGCTAGAGAAACTCAGTTTGTGGGATGAGAGTCTCACATCTCAGAAGTCTGAAACTCTCCAGTCAGGCAGGTGGAAGTCACACACCTGGATGCTGGATCTGAGGAGGAGGAAGATAAGGAGGAGAAGAACTGAGGCTTCAAGGATTTAATTAAAATTTGGGAGGTCGCAGGAGGTCGAGACTCTGGTGATCCACTCGCAGGAAATTTAAAATGTCATTTCCTTCTGGTGACTTTTCATGCATCTTTTCAGGTTAAATTTATAGTGGAATTCTTTTTTCTGTAAGGGAAACGCATCAATCTGCCACGCGATGATAAAAGTGTCCGTAATAAACAGTGTTAGACACTGAATTTCAAATAGATTTTTTATATTTTCTATTTGTTTGTAACAGTGGTCCAACTCAGCTGTAACCTTGAACATAAGGAATAAAACTCAATATCAGTAACTTTTGGAGAGTTAGTGAAGGAGGGCTAACTGACATACTATGATGGAAAACTTTGTATGGATTTGAATATTTCTGATGTGGAGCTTAAAGTAGTCAAGGAAGGTCAATCAATAAAGAGCCTGATCATGGAGAGACGACCACCATCATATGACAGGAAGAAGATACCTAAAAGAGCCAAACTGCAGCAAACTGCCTGAGATTAGAGCAGGGCGATATGGCCAAAAATATTTATCACGATATATATTTGAAAATTTGCGATAACGATATAACTGACGATATAATTGATGCGAGACAAAATACAACTCCACAACATTACTAGCGCAAAAAGACAACCTTCCATTTATTTTCACTTAAACAAGAAGCTGGTTTTTATGTACATTAAAGCTTTATAAAAATGTAACAGTGCAAATGCAAATTCCTTGCTGAAAGTTTAACCAAAAGGCATTTCCAGTAGAAATGGGCTGACATATCCTGAGCATAACCATGTATAATATCCACTGAAGTTAAAAAGAGGTGCTTTGCAACATTAAACTGCAGTGTGCAGTACGTATTTTTCGGACCATAAGGTGCACGGGATTATAAGGCACATTAAGCGAAACAAAGCAGTCAGATAAATCAAACTTTATTAAACTCATTCTTCTTGCTTCCTCCACTTCTGTACCATTGATTCATTAATGTTGAATTCTCTGGCAGCTGCTCTATTCCCATGTTGTTGCAGTATATTAATGACTAACCTCGTATTGTGGATGGATTATCTCAGTTGTTCTCCTGACTGAAGTTTGGTCCGTTTACAGCATCCTGCCATGCGATTGCATTTGTCTCTAACCATGAAGAACCTTCACGTTAACTTTTATAAGTGGAAAAGTGTTAGTGTTCGTCCTCCAGCTTCACTGTTTATGTTATGCTAACATAGCTGTGTCGCTAGCGATCACGTAGCACATCATTATATACCAGCTAGCCCAACTTCAGTAACCCTACAAACGTCACTGCTGTTTAGTTTCCTGTCTTCATTTATGTTGGAAGTGATAGCAGAGCTGTACGTTTGAATTTTTTTCAGAAATCTCTCAGTCAGAACATGCTATATCATGCTTAGGTAACTAGCGAAACTAGCGAGCTAACTTCCGCTAGCTTCCTGCTAACTTCTAACTCCGTTAAATGTAATAACTTTTGTTTTCATGGATGCCTGGAAGTTAAACTTTATAGTTACACCTGGTAAAGCAGCAATGCTGATCGTTTTATTAAAGATGAAAGAATTTAGACAGTTTTTAACTCTAAGTGATGCTGCAGTGTTGTTTGACCTGAAGAATACGGAGTTTAGGACCCAGATTACTCCCAGATTTAAGAGCATCTTAGTCCGACAAATACGACAATAACGACGGCCGCTTGCATGTTCTGCAAAAAAATGTGCTTTGTTGTGTATCTGACGGACAAACACCAAACCAGTTCCACATCACTGAAGTTGCACCATTTTTACAAACCAATTCTGGTTCATCTGTTTCACTCAACAATCGGCCATGTGCGTATGAAAACAAAGGCACTGCGCATGCGCGTTTTACTCCCATTCTATCGCGATATTTCATTTTCCTATCGTTGCCTAACATTATACCGGTATTACCATGAACGGTATAATATGGCCCAGCCCTACCTGAGATCACCTCGTGCTGTCTGACTCAATGCCAGCATAAAGACTACAGTCGTACAGGCACCGACGAGCTCACAGTCCGTGACCGACTGCTTTCACCAAGTCCACAGAAAACACACACAGACTGGCTCTACAAACTCCCACACCCTCAAATATCCTCAATACGAGAGCGAGCCGAGGACGATGATCCACCTGAAGTTGAAATTTATATTGAAGTGTTCAAACATGTATGAAAAAGAGCATGAAGAGAATCTCCTGTCAGCTCTTTTTGTTTTTATCAGCTTAGATGTGCTGTTATCTGATAAGCTGGGACTGTCTGTGTTATTCAGGCCAGGAAAGATGTTTCCTAGTTTTCCTGCAGACCACACAACACTCACACTACTGACACACACACACGCAGACAATAACAAATGTCAAAACATCAAATATCAAAATTCATCATATACATATAAATTTATACACAAACAAGAAGCAGTTCTAATGAGAATAATGAATGAAACTCTGCAAACGTTTTTAAATTCTTTGGGAGCATATTCTTTAACTGGTTTAGAGGAGAAAGCTGATCGTGCAAGGAAAGACAAATCCCCTCTAAGGTGGTGGAGCAGCCTCATGGATGGTCTTACTGTATGTACTACACGTATGCTTGGGTATATTGTAGATGTCAATGAATTAAAGAGCTGATTGCTCAGAGTTCCTGGCAGAAGAACATTTTTCCAGGTGCTTACCAGAATGAGCAGGCAGTAGGAGGAGAACTCCTGATGAGCCGGGATGGTGGAGAACACAGAGAGGACCAGGCAGCTGAAGACCAAGACGAACCTGAACAAAAACACAAAACTGGAGTCAAACAGGATGACATCAATGGGCTGACCTCATCCACCACACTGACCAAACCCTCATTTCCACTGGTCCCAAACAGGCTGTGCACTGAAGTGGAATTGTTCCTCTGTGACAAACTCTTGAACCCATTCTGGCAGTGAAGGAAGAGCAGCACACCAACGACCTGGCAGCGCAATCGCACAATTATTTCCTGTCTGCAGTGAACAGTGAGCCCGACCATTATTCAATTTCCTGAGATATCAAGTTAATCATGCTTGTTTGTGCAACATGGTTTGCAAGAAACAAGCAGTGAAACTGCGGCTCTTGGAAAACAAGCAACATCCGACCACTTCCACACTCCCGACTGTCGCTCCCTCCGCCAGGAAACCGTAGCTTTCCATCTTCATTGTTGTGTTTTGTTTTTCCATCACACAAAGCTTCCAAAATGAGAAATATGAGTGCAGCCTTTAGAGCTACAGTGGCTCCTGATGTTAAATGGTGAGAGCACATCTGTGTTTTATCATCTCAGTCTGCTGCACAGGCCCGTCTGACACGCAGTGTGTGTGTGTGTTTTCTCTTAACTATTGTGCAATGACAGCAACACAGCCCACTTCATGTTACCCAGTCATAATGAGGTCTTGTTTTTAGGCCTCTGAAGTTCGCTTCAAATCATAAACACACCTTTAATTACAGAATTTCAGGTGATTATTTACACTCCTGTTGAAATCCAAGCAAACCCCCCCCCCCCGTTACAGAACTGAAAGCAGAGGCACCTTCTGCTGTCCACAATAAAACCGGGTTGCATCTATGAAAAGTATCCACAGTTCCCGTTTACTGCTTGATACAGAATAAACGTCTTTATTGAAATAACTGTGTTTATTGTATATATTACAAACTGTATATATTACAGGCAGGACCAAAGTCAGAGTACCAGAAATGACATTTAAGCAATAAAGATGGATTACAGTGTGCAAGACCTGTTTGAAAGCCTAAGCAGCTGAGAGATGAAGGTTGTGGTCGAATAGTCACCTTTGCTCAGGAAGGTTCCTAACTGGTTGGTTGAATCCTCTAAATACCAAGGAAAGACGTTATTACCTGCTTTAGCAAAGGACACAGTGGATCATCCTTCATGAAGGGAAATGAGATACATGATTGAGTGGTTCAGGAAAAAAAGTATATCAGCGTGAGTACCAAATGAAGTAGACGGTAGTTTAATTATAATCTGCATTTGCCTTCTAATATGTGGGTGTTTGAACTTTAAACAATGATAAAGTGAAGTGACGGCTGTAGTTTAGCTGCCATCAGTCATTTCACATCAGGTAAAGATCCATCCATTCATTTTCATAACTGTTTATCCAGCTCAGAGCTGTTGGGATGCTGGAGTCTATCCCAGCTGTCACTGAGGGACTCAGGTCACCAGTCTATCACAGAGCCATCCGTCCTCGCCTGCAGCCAAATTACAATCACCAATCAAACACAAACTTCAAAAAGAAAGGCTTCCTCTCATGAATTCTCCTTCACATCTTTCCTTCCTGTCTTGATGTTTTACCTCAGATTCAAGGAAAACACACGGGAGAGAATCTTTTGAACTATTCAGCCTCAACCAGCAACTCCCACGGGTCTGCCTCCCTGCATCCGCATGTACTCAAAACTCATACGTAGTGTCTACGAGGGATCCTGGTTAGATGCTTCGCAGACTTCAACAAGTCATTTCAGCCCTTTGTCAAAATACCAGAGTCAGCTTTTTCAGTCAGGATGGGAGCAGATATCAGATCGGTGCATCTCTACATCTCCAGCATAGAAACGAGGCACTTTGGTGTTATTTTAACCTGGAAACTCACAATCCATTTCCACTTCCATTCTCAGGCCACAGAACAGTCACCACTGGATAAGCCGATAAAGACTCCTAGCTGGCAGCGGACTGACTTTTAAAACAGCTTTGCATGCTACTGGAATTTGAAAAAGGTTTTTCACATTACAATCATTTCCTCTAGGAAAAATATCATTTCTGGCAATCTGACCTTGGCCCTACCCACAATGCAGTTTGTCCCTGTGCACAGCTGTACCGAAGCGGAGACTGGGGACTCCTTCCTATGGGCCCCTCGTGCCAAACTGACCCCAGATTATCACAGAGTTGAAGGGAAGTCTTTCAAGCTTGTCTGCCGGGCCCATCAGGACTACTTCCAGTGTTTGAATGGTGCCTGTGTGAAAATAGTGGGTGTGCAGAGCAGGTCACACTCCCATACCCCACAGAACAGTACAGGACTGCGCTGTTCTGACCCCACTTGGGCCCTCGCCGACATGCAGAGAGCCAAAATGAAGGTCAGGATTTTCCACAGCCTCGGGGATGGTTATGTCATCATTTCTCGACCCATGAGTTCTCCTCCTGCTCTGCGACAGGCCTCGCAGAGCTGCTGGAGGTTCCGAATGAAACGAAAAGCATAAAGTATCGAAAGTTTGAGGTTTGCACTGTTGACATTTCCAAAGATTTGAATAATGTGCTTTTGATTGGAGGAAAACATCTAGTGACAAGCATTGTGGTGCTGTCAGCTGAAGCACGAGCTCCTTGTCAGTGGCACACCTACGCCTCTCGCACTTACAAGGTTGTCAGACCGAAAATTATAGAGTGACAATCAACTCCCTTCATCCGTAGCCTAACTCATGTTTCCAGTTTGAATATATTTACTTTGAAAAAAATAGGGGGTGGGGGGGATGAAGTGAAAAGCCCTGTGACAGCATCATTAAGTTCTCAATGAGGTTCATTAATTAATCCCACAAGGTGAGGCTCTGGGACGGCCATGGCCCCCGTGTGTCGTGATGCCCTGCACTCAGAGCTGAAGGATTCATCTGGAGCATCTCGTTCAGTGCTCCCAGCAGAGTGATCGCTCTTAACCTTCCAAACAACACTGACTGAAAATTAAACTGGCGAACACAAAGAAGGAGAGGTACGTCCTTCCACCTACTCACCCTCCACCTCCCCTGCGCTCGCACGGAGGCCCAGCATCACGGAACAAGTGGTGAGTGCTGCTCTGATTAGCATAATTTAATTGATTTGTCTGCAAAATGAGCTCCAAAACTAATGATATCCGCAAACTGCAATGGTATATTACAGCTCATTATCACTCTGAATTTGATTGGCAGACATTTCTCCACAGTCTCCTTTTTATCTGTCATCTTGGATGATAGGAGGGTAAGGAGAGCGGGGCAGTAAATGGCCTGGAGTGGAATTAAAGCCATGCCTCTGCAGTGAGGACACAGCTTTCACCAGGTGAGCTGCAGGGCGCTCCTGAATGTTTTTTGCCAGAAAGTCAAAAAAATGACTTTGATGCAATGCAAAATGCCACAAGCAGACAGCGAGGCACAAAATAATCACAAAAACATGCAAAATCACCAGTACGAGGCTGAAAATGACCACGGAGATGTGCAAAAAAGATCAGAGTGAGAAAAGCAAATGGGAGACAGAGGGGCCATTATAAGATACATAAGAATTAATTTGAGCTTTGAATTATGTAAAGCTGCAAAGAATGTCCATCAAAGAAAATAAGAAAGCTGAACATTAGCAGAAAAGAGCCTCTTTAATACGCCTGGCTGAACACTCTCTGTCCACTGATAATAAAGAAGAAGAATTTTTCACCTCAATGTTTGGTTCAGTGCAAAAAACATCAAATTTAAATAAAACTGGAAAAATAAATCTAAGATGAGGACGTCTGTGTCCTATTAATGAAAGGTCTCTGCCCAATAAAAGACATCAAAATCTGGCTTTGCCGTCTTAAACGTGTTCCTTTCAGTTGTCCGTTTGTTAGGAGCCGGTTTTCGCAGCAGTTCGCAGGTGAGACACAAACAGGTTTTTCTAAAAGTGAGAATCTGCTGCCCGAATGTTTTCATCACTCACACACCTGAATAATTTGCGTAGCCGAGGAAAACGTGCACCCTGGAGCCCTGCAGAGGTCATCGTTTTGATTTGATTTTATCTGACTGCAAACCAGTTCAAGTTTAGCTTGAGCCATAGTTGTACTTTTATTATGTATTTGCCTTTATTGTATTTTATGTAACCTTTTTTTTTCCCCACTTATTCTGTTTCAACATTTTTACTTTAGCGTGGCTTCATCTTTGATCCTGATTTTTCTTAATTTCCTTTGATTTTCTCTCACTCTTATCAACCATTTCAATATTTTCCTTTTTGTTTTTTCTTTTAAGATTTATTATTGTTGGATATTATTTTTGCTTTATTACATCTTGTTATCAGCTTTGCAGTTCCTGTGTATTGTGTGTTCATCACTCAGCACAAAAGGAGCTATAAACTAAAGTCTAACTGATTGATTGCCCCATTTAACCTGGTTTTTACACTGTAGGGTCATGTGAGCGTGCTCAGTACACGTGTCACTGTATGCACAGAGCGTATGCAGAACAAGCAGCATGGCGACTCATTCACATCTACATGTGGTGTAATTAGATAAACTGTGCAGGACAAAAACTGAACATATTTCCCACTTTATGTGTCAAATCTGCATAAAGAAGCTCTACTCCCACTTAAAAGCACCTTCCTGATTAGTTCTGTCGTGTGTTAATTGGACCACAGCACACTAATAGACTGATTAATGATGTCGTAAAGATCACATGTGACTGGGTTTATGCCAGATGATGTCATAAGCTGTTTTGAGACACATGACACAGATATATTATCTGATGCTGTCCATGGTCCTGAAACCAAATCCTGCTCCTGCCCTTAGATTTTAGTTTCAGAGCAGATGTCACACGATCGAACTTGATTTGTCTTCAGTGATCCCACCTGCCGATCTGCCTTTTCATTGAACAGAGATCAGCTGGTGCACAATCAACAATTATTCTACTTTAAAGAATGCATCACCACTTTACACATGATGCTGTTAGTGTGATGCTATAGTGGAAGCTTTGCAACTGTTTAGTAAACAGAGCAATCCAACGTACATTCTGTGATCTGATTTTTAAATCTGAAACCATCAACCGTCTCAGGCTGCATT